TTGTAATTGTCCTAAGGAGGAAAGTTGATGCAATCAAGTAATAAAGAGCCAACACCTCCTGTACATGAAAAATTGGATAACATCATGAAATATGCTGGTAAAAAGTGGCTCCCCAGTGTAAATGGCAAAGGGGTATATGTGTTTGGTTTTTTAGTTTCTTTCAAAGCAAACTCCTAATGTCATTCTCTCAGAGAGGCCTTCCCTTCCTACCCCATCTAAAATAGCACCCCCTCTCTTTCTAGCATTTACTGATCAAATTAATATTAACATTAGTCAGTTTCTATGAAGAAAGGTACTTAGTCTTGCTCACCTATAAGATATTTAACACTCAGTGGGTACCCAAGAAATTCTCAGATTAAAGAAATGGGAAAGCATTCTTTGATGAAATTAAAATAATTCTTTTTTTTTTTTTTTTTTTGAGACGGAGTTTCACTCACGTTACCCAGGTTGGAGTGCAATGGCGCGATCTCGGCTCACTGCAACCTCCACCTCCCAGGTTCAGGGAATTCTCCTGCCTCAGCCTCCCGAGTAGCTGGAATTACAGGCACCTGCCACCACACCAGCTAATTTTTTGTATTTTTAGTAGAGGCAGGGTTTCACCATGTTGGCTAGGCTGGTCTCAAACTCTTGACCTCAGGTGATCCACCTGCCTCAGCCTCCCAAAGTACTGGGATTACAAGCATGAGCCACCACGCCCAGCCTATAGACAGTTCTTTATTAGAGATTAAGTTGATTCAGATACCAATGTTACAAATGTATTAATATTTTAAATTTTGTTATAGTGTTATAAATGGCTAAGCATTTTAAAAATTAGCATTTCTACTGGTTCCAGATTTTACAAATAAAGCAAAAACTCAATAATGGAAGAAACAAAATCAGAGTCACACCAAAACACCATGATGTGTTGGGGCCACTGTCCTCTAAAATTTGCAAGCAGATTCAAACCAAATCCACTGTGTATAACTGCATGGAAAGACTATTCATCAATTTCAAGTTTTGACTTAACAAATACCTCCTTCTCGATTGTTTGTTTTATCATTTATATCGACTGCTGAAATCTAAAGATTTTCGTAGACTGAGACAAACTTGATTCTTTTCCTTGTATTTTTTCTAAATTCGATGCAAGTACTTCCAAGCAGCCCAACGATTTTCACCAGAAAGAATATGAAGATGACAGGCAGAAGAAGTCATCTGCTGGGTCGCACAAAGGTCTCACCACCGAGTTTTGTAAGATTCCAACCTACACTCCCAAACGCTTGAGACTTTTTAAGTACTCATGATCATTAATCTCCATAGGATCCTTATTTGACTTTACCTTTGTAGCCTGTTCACTTTCCTATTTTCCTCAAATCTCCAACATCCCCATTCCCAATTTCTAGAAAAGCAGGCAATCAGGAGAACCTGAACATCCACCCACTTAAATGCATCAGGCATCAGTTATCATATCCTCTATCCATGCTCCAATTAACAGGGCTATGCTACATGTTATTGGCCAAACTCTCCATGTATATACTAGAAACCATCCCCTCTCACTTACCCAAGGCTATGACTCCAACAATTCCCTCCCTCATCAGTATTTCTACTCTCCACTGAACCATTCTCAAAAGCATGCAAATGTTATTTTTCCTAATACCTGAAAACTGTTCTTTCCATGGTCTTCCCCATTTCAGGTAATGGCAATCCTTCCAGTTGTTCAGGCCAAAATTGGTATTATTTTTGACTTAACTCACACCCAATTTATAAGCCATCCGCAAATCTTTGAGGGCCTTCCTCCAAAATATATCCAAAATCCAACTACTTCTCATTACCTTTATTGCTACCAACCTGAACAAAATCACTCTGTCTTTTGTCTGGACTCCTGCATGTGTCACCCTGCTTTCATTCTAACTCCCCGACCCCCTTGACCCCTTCTGTTCTCAGCACAACAGCCAGAGGGATCCTGTGAAAACATACATCACTGAATGAATTAACAACTTATTCATAATTCTAAAAACATTTACAAGCCAGTTTTATGTTCTATTTTTCAAAGGAAATTGAAAAGTTTTCTTCCTTAAATCTTCCTTGCTGTCAGGGAGAAAAAAATTTAAGAAAATGATGATCATCAAATTTATTCCCCTAAATACTTAACTCTTTAAAAAGAAGGCCTTTTTCCTACCCAAGAGGGGGTGGCCAAAAGTAAGGGAACAAGTCTCCATAATGCCTGTCCCTGAGGTAAAGCAAGGACATGTGCCCTTTATTTGACCAACTTCTCCCTACCATTAACTCAGTCTCTCTTTTTTTTAAAGCTCCCTTGATCTGTTTCTTACAACTAAAAACACCCCTTAATCACCATGTTTCTCCAGATTTGGGATTGTTCTGTTTTGTTCTGATTTGGACACCTGAATTCCAAGATATAGGAGAGGCTGAATCATTGTTCCAGGGAGGCTGCTCAAGTAACAGGAATTTTAAAATTGTATTTATTTTTTATTTTTGGAGAACAAATTCTTGCTCTGTCACCCAAGCTGGAGTGCAGTAGCACGTCTAGGCTCACTGCAACCTCTGCCTCTCAGGGTCAAGCGATTCTCCTGCCTCAGCCTTCCAAGCAGCTGGGACTACAGATGCGACCACCACCCCCAGCTAATTTTTGTGTTTTTAGTAAAGATGGGGTTTCATCATGTTGGCCAGGCTGATCTCAAACTCCTGACCTCAAGTGATCTGCTCACCTCAGCCTCCCAGAGTGCTGGAATTACAGGTGTGAGCCACCACACCTGGCCTAAATTTTTTTTTTCATTGAGATTGATTTACCTCTCAGTATGGTGACTTGGACTTGAAACCACATGTCCACTGAACAAAAAAATTTTCACTGAGGCATATAATGTTTCTTAAATTCTCAAATTCCTTTGTGTTTTTTGTGCCAGAGACCTTCCTCTAAACTCCAAATAGTACATTTTGAGAAGCCTACAGAAGATGAAAAAGACTAAAAAGAAAGATTAAGCCAGGTGTAGTGGGGGCATGCCTATAGTCCTAGCTACATGGAAGGCTGAGGCAGGAGAATTGCTTGAGCCCAGGAGTTGGAGGCTGCAGTGAGCTATGATCACATCACTGCACTCTAGCCTGGGCACAGAGGGAGACCCTGCCTCAAAAACATTAATAAAAAATAAATGAAAGAAGCCGGGTGCGGTGGCTCACGCCTGTAATCCTAGCACTTTGGGAGGCTGAGGTGGGTGCATCACCTGAGGTCAGGAGTTCAAGACCAGCCTGGCCTACATGGTGAAACCCCCATCTTAAAAAATAAATAAATAAATAAATGAAAGAGATTAAAACAGTATTTTAACAAGACTGGTATTCATTCGACTTCGGGGATGTTTTAAAAGTAAATAAACTCTAGAACCCTGGACTAATAAATTTATGAAGACGACTCCTTCCAAGCCTTCCCTACCTCTATAAATGGCAACTGTATCCTTTCTTTGGCTTAGGCCAAAACCTTCAGAGTCATCCTTGACTGGCCTTTCTCCTCAGGTCCATTGCATTTGCTATTCCCTCTGCCTGGAATGCTTTTTCTCCAAATTACCGCAGTGTCCCCCTTACCACTTGGAGATTCTCTCATCAGTGAGGCCTTGACTGAACAACCCATTTAGATGAGTAAGTTGCCTCCAACATGGTCCCTCATCTTCCCTGCTCAGACTCCAAACTTCCCTGATTTTACTTATTTACTAGTTAATTACTCATCTCTCCCTCACCAGCACTCAAGCTCCACAGAGATTTTCATCTGTTTTATTAACTACTGAATCACAAATTAGAACATCTGACACACAGTTGGGACCTAAACAATTGTATAATGAATGGAAGTGACTAAGAAAAACTATATATAACATTTGCTTCAGGAAAGACAATCATGTGATCCTTAAATTATGCACTTAGTCCTCCTAACAAGTTCCACAAGAACAAAAATATTTTTATAAAGCATACTGGTGGTAACGTTTAGGCACAAATTTAAGAAGCAATGAAACATGTCTCAGCACCTGTTCAGCGCTTTAAAGCACACAAGATACAGTTCATCCTTTACTTCTATTAACATAAAACAATTATCTTGAAAATTGCAGGGAGCAGGTGGCATCACAGCTTTACATGATATCAGTTCCTTTTACATACAATCAGGTTCCAACAATGAAGTCACTGGATCCCCTATTATTTTCAGCTGCCAGCATTAATGAGACTCTAACCTTGGCTAATCTTATTGGAAACATGATCTCCCAAGTGCTCTCCTAACATTTTCAATTTCCAAATAAAAGTCCAATATTTTTCTGACCTATTAAAATACTTAAGCATTCAAAAATGTGCCACCATCTCTGCCTGAAGTACTGAGTTGATTAGTACTCATATTGCCATCAAACAAGTTCTCAGATTCAAAGAGAAAGTTCAAAAAATATTAAGAGTAAATGAAAATAACTATTAACGTTAACTAACCATGCCGGGGGGGGGGGTTACTGATATCTAAGGAAAGAAGAGTTACGGAACTCTTTCTCAACACGAGTACACCAAAAGTCTGTACAAAGGTCGCAAGTTATTTTCTGTGGCTTTGCAGAAAAAAACATCTAATATCAATTATCGAGAAAGTTAATACGGCATGGTTTTTAAATTCTCAGTTTCGTATGTTCATCCAATTTACAGAAGCAAAAACAGCTAAAATCAGTCTGTTCCACTCCATTCCCATGATTCCTACGTCAGTAAGTTCTTGGGCAACTTGGTGCAATTGGGAGAAAAAAGGTTAATCCAGAAACAATGAAAACGGAACGGACAGTACACTCAGGTGACCTCTCACATTCTAACAATAGCGGTGCGAACTTGTACCCTGCTTGCTCAATCACCAGAACGGCAAGATTCTAGCAGTGGTGAAGTTTTTCCACAGCCGAAGGGCACCGTCAAGGTCCGCCTTGCATCTGCCACTCACACCTCCATGACCTCCGTCACCCCAATCCCCCGAAAACACAAGCCCTCGCTGGGCCCGGGTGACCCCTCACCATCACTGCATTTATACTGGCAGAGACCGTCCTCGCCTCCCAGGAGGTCCAAGGCGGCGTTCAGGTACGTGTCTATCTTGTGAACGCCGTTCCGGATGGTCTTCAGGGTGGCCCTCCAGTCGGTGGTCTGGGCCTGCTCCTGGCACCTGACAACAGCGGCCGTGAGGAGGAGCAGGAGGATGAGCGCGGGGCGCGGGAGCAGGGCCATCCGCGCAGCGCGGGGCTCTACGGGTCCCCGAGCCGCGGCGGCAGGCGTGGCCCCACGGAGCCCCCGGGACGCGCTAGGCAGCGGCGCGGGCCCGGGGCTTGGCAGCCACCGGCTCCATATCCACGCCTCCTTCCCTGCTGGCCGGCAGGGCCTCGTTGGCTTTACGGGAACCGCCTCTGGGAGGCAGCGCCGTCGCAGAGACGCTTCCGCTCACCTAGGCCAGCGCGCCCGCTCCCCATGGGCAGCGACCGTCCCCTGTGCGCCTGCGCCAGAGCGCGGGGCGGCGAGCCGGGGGCGGGGCGGCGAGCCGGGGGCGGGGCGGCGAGCCGGGGGCGGGGCGGCGAGCCGGGGGCGGGGCGGCGAGCCGGGGGTGGGAAGCGCGGAGCTTGGGACTGGGCCGGGCCTCCACGCCCACGAGATTTCCGCGGTGCCCTCACGAGGCCCTCGGTCCTGGTTCACCAGAGAAGTTTAAAAAATACCCAGGCCCGGGCCCGTTTTCTGGGAGCCTGATTACTTTGGTCCTAGGTAATAGGACCTCGGACCAGTGGGCGTCGGTATTTTTTAAAAGCTCTCCGGGCGATTAACCGTGAAGCTAGAGTGCAGAGCTAACCTCGGTGTCCTAACCTGCCCGGTCGGGGTTTTCAGCACAGTAGCCCCGAGAGACAAACTTTTCTGGTTGTGGACCATATCGGAGAAAGTAACTCCTGTGTTTGCTTGCAGAGAGCACTGCGAGAGGTGCAGCTGAGCGTGCGGCTGGAAGACGTGGTTCCGCTGGCAACGTGGGCAGAGTCCAGATCTCAGCTCGAGGAGGGCTTTGCCTCCCCTCATCCTCTCCCGCTCCTCCAGGCGTGCTGTGGCCGCTGTTGCGGGAGCCGGATCTGGGAGATGCCAACCCAGGCCTTGGCAATGCCTGACTCTAATCAGGAAGAGCTAGATGCTAGTTTAGACTTTCTGGAAAAAGAAAATGGTCCAACAGTAAAAATCACAAAATTCTTCCCTGGTAAGGAAGAAACGTAGTGTAAACTTAAATATAGTAAAATAAATAAATAAACTCTTAAGAAAATCATTGTTTTCCTACTCAAGGGATTTTGTAACTTGATAGTTCCAGTGACGTTTGTTTCTCTGTACCCACCCTTCTGCCCCCGCATTGTGTAGAAACCATAAATAACTATTGCAGTAGTAGTTTCTACCAGTTATAAATCCCTGGTTATCTTAGAATCACAGCAGTTTCCAAGAATTTTACAGTAAGATCCAGAGCAATGTTGAAAGTATTGGACAGGCCAGACACATTGGCTCACTCAGGTCTGTAACCCCAGCACTTTGAGAGACCCGAGGTAGGTGGATCACTTGAGGCCAGGAGTTCGAGACCAGCCTAACCAACATGATGAAACCCCGACTGTACTAAAAATACAAAAAATTAGCCAGGTGTGGTAGCAGGCACTTGTATCCCAGCTACTCGGGAGGCTGAGGCAGGAGAATCAATAGAACCCAGAAGGCAGAGGTTTCAGTGAGCTGAGACAGCGCCACTGCACTGCATCCTGGGCAACAGAGGGAGACTCAGTCTCAATAAATAAATAAATAAATAAAAATAAAAATAAAGTATTGGGCATAGGAGTGTCCTTTCTATAAGAATTACCAGTAAGTTCTAGGTTTGCCCTTTTGTGTTTATTACAAACTTAATGAGCTTATAATAAATGTTCAGTGCATAGTTCATAAAAATTTACTGAGTGCATACTGTGTGCCAGGCACTTCATGAATATGATCAGTCACATTCAGAACACTGCTTTACAAGGATGCAGGCTTTGGGTAAGTTAGAAACATAGAAAGGCATTCCTCCCTACCAAAGGGGTAGCCCAACCCCAGGCTGGAGACTGCCTGGACTTCACTCAGCCCCTCAACCAGGAGTCTTGGGCAGTGATTAATTCCTACCACAATGGAGAATGGGGAAGAATGTTCCCTAGAAGGTATTATTATCTTCATCTTTTACAATAAAAGAGTTGCGGTGAGAAGTCATGTGACGCTATCTAGTCCAAACAAAGGCCTCTTTCTGTCTTCACAAAATACCAATGATATTTTTATTTTTTAATTTTTAGACAACACATTTCAATGCATTTAAAAAAGGGAATTTAGAATTACTGTCTTAGCTTTCTGGAACACTGGTTTCTGAGCTCCAAAGTCTGGAAGTCAGATTAGATTACCTCTGAGACACCACCACCCGAATCCTTAAAACAGGCTTGGTTCTTACAAGCCTTCTTCCAGAGAAACTCCCTAGTCCAGGGATAAGTCTAGAAAGAAAGGACAGAATGTAGTAAAATAACCTGGTTCCAGCCCTCAGTTATGACCCAAAGCCTCTCCTTTCCCCCCCTTTCTTTATTTATTTACTCCTTTGTGATCTCTAATTTCTTACACCTTAACTACTACTACTTTGAGGACTCAGAAGTACTTTATATGTCAGATCTCTCCTTAGGGATTAACTTCTCAAATGCCAGTTCTTCTGGCTGATGGAGCTGTTCTCCTTCTCTCGCAAGCAAATCTTTTTCACTATCTTTCCCGTGGGAATCACCACCATTTTTGTAGAAAACAACACTCTTAAGTTTTATTTTCACATCCTTTTCACATTTAATCATTATATATTTGTTGTTCTGCTGCAGTAATTACAAATTTACTTTTTCCTCTTAATTGATGTGTCAAATACCAGGGATCTGCACTGACCACAGACTGACTATATAATTTGTAGGGCTCAGTGTAAAATAAAAATACAGAGCCACTTGCTCTGTATTTTTGAGTGTGCGGTCTTGTGCCATTACACGGGATGCATGCCCTGATTCACCACATCATATAACTTTTTTTTTGTTTGGACACTGTGTCTTGCTCTGTCACCCGGCTGGAGTGCAGTGGATCTTGACTCACTGCAACCTCCACCTCCCAGGTTCAGGCAATTCTGCTGCCTCAGCCTCCTGAGTAGCTAGGACTACAGGCATGTGCTACCGTGTCCAGATGACTTTTTAAAAATTTTTAGTAGAAACGAAGTTTCGCCATGTTGGCCAGGCTGCCCAACATGGCGAAACTTCGTTTCTGCTAAAAATTTTTAAAAATTAAAAAATAAAAATATCGGCCGGGTGCGGTGGCTCAAGCCTGTAATCCCAGCACTTTGGGAGGCCGAGGCGGGTGGATCACGAGGTCAAGAGATCGAGACTATCCTGGTCAACATGGTGAAACCCCGTCTCTATTAAAAATACAAAAAATCAGCTGGGCATGGTGGCGCGTGCCTGTAATCCCAGCTACTCAGGAGGCTGAGGCAGGAGAATTGCCTGAACCCAGGAGGCAGAGGTTGCGGTGAGCCGAGATCGCGCCATTGCACTCCAGCCTGGGTAACAAGAGCGAAACTCCGTCTCAAAAAAAAAAATAAAAAATAAAAAAAAATAAAAAAAAAAATAAAAATATCGTTGGTATTTTGTGAAAGGTCTCGAACTCCTGACCTTAAGTGATCCCCTTGCCTTGGCCTCCCAAAGTGCTGGGATTACATACAAGAGCCACTGTGCCCAGCCCATATCATATAACTTCTAGATGACCCACTTCCGTCCTTTCTTCCCAAATTTTGGCATAAAATGTTTGAAAAGAGCTTTCTTTACCGGAAACTTTCATTTAACCAGTAAAACCTGTTATTTTGATGACAGACACCATTAGTTGCAAATCCACAGCTGTCTTTCAGGTCTTTCCTGCCAGAGAGTGGCTGGCTTGTCTATATATACTTTGACTGTGGTGGGCAGGAGCTGAAGATAGGACGTTACTTAGGATACAGTAAACTAGGTATTAGTATGGCTTGGTCCAGGAAAGGAGAAGTGGGGGTATGAAAAGTGGTCATATTCTAGATTAAGCTTGATGGTAGAGCAAAAGGGATTTGCTGATGTGAGAGAAAAGGAGGAATCAAGGATGGCATTGAAATTTTGACCTAAGCCATAGGATAGAGTTCTCAATAACTGAAATGGGGAGGATTGTGGAAGGAGCAGGTTTTGGGGGAAAATTTAAGAAATTCATTTCAGTCATACCATGTTCAAGAAGCTTATTCTAAGTCTGCAGTTCAGCATACAGGTTAGAAATATATTTTGAAGTTGTCAGGATAGAAATGGCTTTTAAAGTCATGGGACTTTGCTGGGCGCAGTGGCTCACAGCTGTATTCCTAACACCTTGGGAGGTCAAGGTAGGCAGATCGCTTGAGTCCAGGAGTTCAAAGCAGCCTGGGTAACATGGCAAAAGCTTGTCTCTATTAAAAAATACAAAAATTAGCCAGGCATAGTGGTGCATGCCTGTAGTCCCAGCTACTTGGGATGCTGAAGCAGGAGGAACCTTTGAGCCTGGGATGCAGAGGTTGCAGAGAGCTGAGATCGTGCCGTTGCACTCTAGTCTGGCAACAAAGCAAGACCCTGTCTCAAATAAATGAATAAATAAATAACATGGGACTAAATGAGATCCTCTAAAAAGTGAGTGTGCACAAAGAAGCAGAGCAAGGTCTAAGTCTTAGGAGGTCAAGGAACAAAGAACAAATAAGGAGTCTAAGAAGGAGCAGCCAAGTGTAGCAGAAGTGGAACTAAGAGAATACAGTATTCTGGTGTGTCAAAGAAAGACAGAACCACCAATTCTGCTGATGTAAGGAAGGTGGGGGCTGGATATTGACTACCAGATTTAGTAACATGGGGGTTATTGGTGAACTTCACAAGAGTCTCATTGAAGTACTGGGGAGAAAACACAGTTGTAGTTGGAGGAAAAATAATTAGGAATGTCAATTATAGTGAATATCAAAATAAATTATGAAAATATAAAATGTACTATATTTGTGCTGATTCTTGTCTGAATGATATATTAATAAATACCTTGGAATGGGAGATTCTGGGTGGCCAAGACTAGGCTTTCTTTTCTTTTCTTTTTTTCAGAGACAGGATCTTATTCTCTCACCCAGGCTGGGGTAGCATGATCATAGTTCACTGTAACCATGAACTCCTGGGCTTAAGCAATCCTCCTGCCTCAGCCTCCTGAGTAGCTAGGACTACAGGTGTACACCACCATGACTGGCTAATTTTTGCTGCTGTTATTATAGAGATGGGATATCCTTATGTAGCTCAGGCTGGTCTTGGACTCGGGCTCAAGTGATCCTTCTGCCTTTGAGGGAATGAATGTGTTCTCTTTCCGGGTCCACAAGGGGGCGTTGTTTTAAGGGCAAGAACTTCCCAGCGCCATGCCCCACACCCATCTCTCTCCATCCAGGAGATTTAATGGTCT